AGACAAAATAAGGTACTACAATGCATCCACTTGGGACTCTGCAAAAAGTATGCTTTCAGCATTCCCGCGCTTGCGAACCATTCTGTTCAGGAGGTCGTCGCGAATGAGAATGTTGAGATTAGAGTCGATACGCGAGTAAGAACAGCTATAAGATAAGTGCGAATCGACCGAATATCATGATACACGTTAAGAGGCGACGTGAAGTAACCCTGAATGAGGTTGGCAACACTAGTCAGGACAGGTTAACGGCGGTCGAGACCGAGAAAAAGCAAAAATGTGACCTACTTGCCAATAAGCTTGAGTCGAAGATGAAATTTAGGACCAAAATAATTCCGTGTGTAATGACTTAGAGAAGGATTGTTACGAATTTCTACAGACGCTACGCGATCAGTATATCTGATCAGGATCACGTCAAGGGAATATTCAGTCGATAGCTTTCAAGAAGACGCTCGAAAGCACATCATTCGATCAGCGCCGTGGATTCGGCGAGAACGAAGCAGTGGAGATCAACGCAGCAGAACTGAGCGCGGGGCGAGTGCAGCGAGAATGCCAGAATAAATATATATATATATATCTGATCAATATCACACGGAGGTTATTCTTATTTTCTTCATTATTGATTCTGGCGCTGGATCGTATTCTGAATAATTGGCACAAAAAATAATTGAGGACGGAGAATAAAAATATATATGTAATTATATGTCATCCAGTCGATAGTGCTAATTATATATGTAATTAGCACAAAAAAAGCAACTTGAATGATTGGCACAAAAAATCTAATCAAAACAAGAAGAGAGATTTTCTGAGAGTTATGTTCAGCTGATGAAGTATTCATTGCAATCGCTTCAAATAAATATTATTTTGCTGCAAAAATAAACTTAAAATCAAATAATTAATAATGAAAAATGCATCAAAAGTAGTGCTAAATTTTTTACTTCTTTTAGTACTGAAGGAAGTACCGATGTCTTACGTTTTAGATTGGTGCAAGTAAAGCACAAACATTACTTACTCACTGCAATCAATATTAATATTATTTACACGGTGTCACATTGCAGCATTAATATTTACTACCTTTTGCCGTGCAAGTCAATACTTTTTCCTTTATTAATGGATCGGAAGACTGATAAAACAACCTTAATGTTATCAATGATTACCACTTAATCACTCCCTCAGTTCATTCAAAACTAACAGTTTCTCACTCAATTTTTTTCTGTTGCATTTTCATAACTTTAAACGATAAAAATTGCTCAGCAAAACAATTTGTTTTTAGTTTGCGTAAAATATATTTCTGTAAAATAGAAATTGAAGGCGTAAGTAAAACAGCAGATAGAAATCAAATGCTTGGACGCAATTCGATGTGCTTTCTGTATTGCTTTGAGCTGATCTTCTGCAATGCGTCTTACTTGCGTATCTGTCATTTTTGCTTTCTAATTTCTTGCATTTACTTTTCGTTGCATAATTTGAGTTCTGATTAAAATGACTTATTAAAATAGAAATTATTTACCATTTTGAATTCTAATTTTATAATTTAAAATTAGCTACCACTTTTTTGCATATTACAAAAAGAAAAGTCAATAAAAAAATTAAAATATTTAAATAATACTTTTCACTTTCATAGTTTTATATACATTTTTTAATGCTTTAACTCATTAATATCGCCGACAATTTAAACAAATAATTTTATTTGATTACTTTTATAAGTTTTTTTCACAGAAATCGCTTTAATTATAATAAATAGATTATCCCATAATGGCGGCATTTTAAAATTATTCTATGAAAAGGACCAAAATATTTTTCAGTTACATAGTTTTTTGCATTTTTTTTCTCTCTGAAAACATTAAATAGCAAATACAGTGTGATTACAAACAAATTAATGAATTATTTATTGTAGAGTAATTAAGTGGAATGAATTGTTAGCTTTCGTAAAATTCGAAATGCTTATTCTAATCAGTAATGATTTTTTACTGATATAAAAGTTTTTACAAATGATTAAATGTCCAATAAAAGTCAATTTAAACTATATTCAGAGTTCAAAAGTCATTACAAATATAAATTTATTGAATTATTTGACATAAACTGGTTAAAGAACTTATTTTGCTAAAAATAATCGCAATTTTACGTTGGTATACACCACCTCATCACGTGCCTTAATGCTTTAAAGTTATTATTATACTGATCAATTGACGAAAAACCAGTTGATGATATATTCGTTATTAACAAATGACAAGTTTTCACTATAATTTTATTTTTGCAGTACATCTTACTATCATGTCATATGCTATCATATCTTATCTGCAAATAATCGCTGTTTTATTTCTACAGTACTTCACTTCAATGTTCCTTATCACTCAATAATTCTTGTCCCTACTTTTTTGCACTTTTGCCACAAAGTTCAGTAATTATCCCGCCATTACAGCAGAAGAAATAAAATTTTTTAGCGTGCTTTTTTTTCTCAATGACAAATATTCACAATTGAACTATACGTGGAAATTAAGTAACATTTTTTTGAAGTAATAATTTTTGACTTTGAAAATTGCTTATCAAAATTTCTGCTAAATTTATAAAATACTTTTTAGAACTTTTGAGTGGTGTTTTGTGGTTCAAAGCAATGAGAGATTATTTGTTATAGTGTTTTATCAACGTTTAGTAATCATATATTTTTCTGGCAAATTCGTACAATATCTAATTTTTATAGTAAAAACAGTCACTGAGACAGTTTCACTATAAATGACTACTGTATCGTTCGGTACTGTGTATATTCATACATTTTTACACTGTTCACAATTGAACTATACATGGAATTTCGCACGCTTAATTTCACTTTCATGTCTTGATAAGATTCAAATATCTTGATAGAATTAATATAAATAAATCAACAGAAACAAACACATCGATTTTTTTGTGCAACACTGATTACGTTTTGTTACGTCAAACCAAATAATTCAAATACTCCAAACAAAGTTCTATTATGAGATAAATTTTGTTCAGCAACTCCATTAAATCCATGGAATTTTATCAAATTTTTATTATCAAGAACGAAAATAAAAGTCATTGTGATAAGACTTGGAACTTTTCCAAGATTTTTATAGATTTATAGAGCTTCTATTTCTCGTTTAATGAGTCAATTTATGTATTCAGATAAACAGAGGCATAAAACTCTCAAAATGAATGGATTACGTGATTGGATCGCAGACCGTGGACACACACGTTTTTGGCAGATTTGTGGTCTCCACACTCGAGTTAGTCTGATTAGCATTATTTTGCTTACTTGCTTGCTTGTTTACTTTACTATTTTAGTGAAAACAGTTTGCAATCAATGCTGAATGAAAAATGTAAATAAAATTGTTTGATTGAGCTATATTTATCAAGTGAAATGATCAATATTTGCAAATTCAGTACTTCGAAATTGTTGAATTTCAAAAAAGTTCGCAAGTTTTACGTTTAATAAATACAAATTTGTTAATGAATTAAAAATGCAAATTTTAGAAAGCCGTTTTATTGCTTGTTTTATTGTTGTTGCTGATTTCGGTTGCGCTACTGGAGTATTACTTTAGCGAGACGTTGTACATACCTTATCCATTTTTACTTCTTGGTCTATTACTTCTCATCAAATTGGGCACTTTTGGTATTTTGGGTTTCGGATTATACTCGAAAAGTTGGATATTAATCGTACCTTTTATCATTTTAGAGGTAATTTTCACTATTATCTTACTTCTAACCTCATCAAACATTATAGAAAATAATATTTTTAACGACGTAAATTTTCTCCATCACAGCATCAGATCAACTGCAGAATAGATATTATATAATACTTTAAGCTTTCTCTATTTCAGTCACTATATAATAAGCAGTAATGAAAAATTAATTGATATATAATTATATTATTTTAGTCCAAAAATTCATCTTTAACTTAACGCTATTTTTACATTTTATAAAGCGTAATTTTTAAGAACCATTGCGGATTTGCGAATTAACAAAGTAATATTTAATTATGTTCAAAATGGCACTTTTCAGTTTATACTGTGACTTTTTTTTTCTTGCAGAATTTATTTCTCGAAAATAAAAGTAAAAACAACAAAAGTAAAGCACGTCTACAATATTTAAATTATGATGTATAAAAGTTCATACTAATCAACCGTTAATTTATTCAAAGAACTTAAATAGTACACTTTCTGGGAGGGAAAATGCTTTCTAGTGTGATTTGATAAAAAATAAAATAATAAATAGTGTTTTCTCGATGAGATGCATTTTTACCACTTCAGTTCGAGATAAGATTTCAGAAAGCGCTCGTGAACTTCTGTATACACATGATCACAATTACGTATTTCATAGCGAAGTTGCTGTAAAATGTAGCAAGCAATAACAACATTAAGAAGGAAATGATTTTTTTTGGAATATTTTGAAAGATAGATTTGGTTGAGTGAAATAATTTTTGTAGCAGTTTAAAAGCAGGATTTATTAGTTTAAAGTTTTATTTTGATTATTGTAAAGTCAAATGTACAAGTAGACTTACATCTCTTTCATCGTTCACACCAACCTGATCTCCTTTAAGCTTATCAAATTCTCCAATTATCTTAAATATCAAGTTCACAGCATCATTAAAAACCATTAAAAGTCGTGATTCAAGAACCACACGATGCCCATATGGTATCTTATGTTTCTGTAATAATTTTTTACTGAAAACAAAAAAGCTTAAGTGATACACTACTGTTATTGCTGTTTACTTTCAACCATTCATAAAATATATTACTTTATGTTATAACTTTTTTACGTTTAATTAACAACTAATAATCAAAATCTTTTATGAGTGTTAATAAAAAATCAGATCTATTCTTAATGTCTTGGTTAAGTCGAAATCATTTATTTAATTAACAATTAATTTTTTTAATTTTGAGAATATTAATTTTCATTTGCGTAGTTTTCATATTTTTTGAATAAGATATTGTTTTCCGGTCGTTTGTCGGACGATTCTATACTTTTCTGTGATAAGTAAGGTAATCTTATTTGCATAAAGTGACGTATTGCTATTTTTCAGGAAGTTACAGCAGTATTTCTTGACTTAAACTTTTTACAACATTTTACACTTTTACTTTTGATTCATTCATTTCTTAAATTTGATTCCCTTACTCAATCTCCATGTGAGTGTTTTGATAAGATTTCATCTATTACTTTATGTTGTAACTTTAACTTCAAAATTTATCTTACAAGTAAAACAAATGTTAGTTTTCAGTACGTCAAGTCTGTTTCTAAATTGAAAGATGAATTGATTTCTCCTTTTCAAGAAAAAAAGATAGCTAGAAGATAAATCATCAAGTTGCTCACTTCATGTTCATAGAAAATTTCAAATGACTGTGTTGCTTTGTCAAGAAGTTCACCAAGAATTTCCAGGCGGTCTTCTTCTAAAGAACGATCTTCATACTTGACGCTGGATAGCAGCGTTTCAGCATCTTTAATTCGTAACTCAGATTCTTCCCAGCGACGGCTTATATCCTACAATTAAAAGTTGTCCTTTTCATAACCTGATAAATTTTATCTTACTCTTCTGATCAAGTAATGACATAGATTATTAATTCAAAGTACTAACTTGGAATCATTTGCAGTTGATTCTGTTTAACCCGTATAGTTCATCACAAACCAACAAAAAATTAGTGCTTGTCAAATCACTCTTATTTTTTTCATATCGAAATAGTAAAAACTGAAATGTAAAGTTTACTTTATAATAAATTTTTGCAATAGCATCGGGCACATTTTTCATGTTCTTAAACCATTCTAGTGGCATCGTAGCTATCTTCTGTAGTATCTCTTCCTCTTCATATTCTTCAGGTGCTTTCACTAAATTGCTCAATAATATTCATATCTGGTACGAACTGCAGTCAAGCCTTCATAATTATATCAGTTGATGTTATGATTTTCTAATGAATTAAAAATGCTAATTCATCTGTTTCTTTGGGAAATCTCAGTTGCATGAAAAAAGTGTTGACACCTTTGGTTTCATTTGTATCACTTTGCTCATCCATTTTATCACTAAGAAATAACTTTTTGACCACATCACTGGTTGTTTTGCTGGCTTCCATCTTTTCTTCTTCTTCCTTCAAGTCTTCTTGCAACTCTTCACTGGTGATGTGTACTGTTTCCGATTTCCCTCTTATCTTCAAGAATTTAAAATTTGGAACTAAATAAAAAGTCACAAAATTGTGGTTTTCGATAAAAATTTTAAATTTTGCTTAACTGTATCACTGTTTTTTAGTGTAATTCCAATTGCTCTTACAGTCCAATTGACCTGTTTCATTTTACATTAATAAAAACTTACAGATGTGGTGGAATTTGCGAATTTTTCCTCATTGCCATTTTCTTCAGTTGCTGGCATGTCTACCTGAATTATCTGACCTTCCGACATTTACAAAAAATTCTACCTACAATTTACATTTTGTTGTTTGAAAAAAACAAAGAATGACTTATACTTATCAGTCATCCATCAGTTGTTTTTGGTTTACTTCTCAAAAATAAATACTCTGCTAGACTTGATTCTAAAAAAAACCTCATAAGGTAAATAAGTAATGTTGGTCAACATCTGTACAAGTTAGCAGGTTATGTATGCATTAAATATAAATAAATATGCTTGGAAAGCTAAATCATTCTTGACCTACGAATAGACGAAAAAATGCATACCTATACTGAGTTGGAAAATGTTCAGAAATGCTTGTATGGCCAAACACATATAATTTATAACTTTTTATCGTTGTGCAATCAAATGCTACATTTTTGCATATTTATCACATTATTCAAATGACACTGGTTAAGTACTGCGTATGAATTGACTAATTTTAGCACGTGAACAGAGATATATTTCTTGGAAACTTGAAAGATCTTACTTATATGAGTTTCTTTGACGTCTTACAATTTTTAATTAGCTCACAGTAATCATTATATCTAGTTTTCTTTCGAGCGTGTAGGAAATTTCCAACATGCAATTTCAGGTCATCAAAATTTTTATATGGTCTGGGTTTGCATTATATTATTTATTTCGCTATTTCGCGAATATTATCAATGACACCGATGATCACTTGACGAATAGTAGAAGCATTGTGATACCAGGCGTACCATTGCCAAGAAAACCACCTATTGACCACTCTTCAAGTAAGATACTACCTTTAATTACTCTAAATGCTTCATTATTACTCAACTACATAAAAATCACATTTCATACTGCTTGAAACCACCAATGACTGCAGTTCTTATTTCTTTCACACTTTTCTTCAGAATTATTCGCATCGTACCAGGTTGTTTACAATGCAAAAGATTGTATTGCATAGACTCTTCTGCTTCCTGTTCTCTTGCACTCATATATTCTAGAACTTTTTATTACAATAAATGACAATGCTTATTCTCCAACAGCGGCAAAATCTCCAACTGGTATTTCCGAATTTCAGATTCGTTCTTGATTAACGTTTTTGGACACATTATTATTATTATCAGTATTCACGCAGTGATTCTCTCTGTAGCAGTCATCATTATGCGAGTACGTTTATTCTAGCAAGAATTCTAAGGAAAAAAACTAGACACGTATGAAGTAATTTTAAAACAAATTCTGCAACGCATAAACATGAAAATTTTCAGATATTTCGCTCTCAGACATCACCTTATGTAAAGGGTGGAACATCTACACCTCCACCTGAAGTCATACAGTTGAGATAATCATTTGAAGAAGCAATAAATGGAAAGATGTACAATATGCACTAACCTGACTATTGTACACGGGCAAAGCTGTATATTACAAATGCAAATTTTTATCATTTTTCGGTTTCACAATAAGGACAGATTGTTCTATAAGTGAGGACTTATCTAAATTCCATTTAAAAAAAATTAAAGCTAAGAATGTATTCAGAAAATTCTTATACATTCAGGACATACTTATTAATGTAATTTTTTAGATGTTCTAATTATACAGCACATCTTTCATAGTAAGGTATCAGAAAACATCTCTTTTGTTAATAAACAAACAATAAAAACAAACTTCAATAAAAGTATCTGAGAATTATGGATGATTTAGTTGATATACATCAAGAAATCAAAATATATGGACTAATTCTTATCAGTGCATAATGAAACTAAATATTTTAAAGATTTGGTTTCAGAAATTATATGAATAAGACCATAGTAATCAATGCAGAAAATAAACATACATAATAATAAATAAAAAATGTATGAAAAGAATTGAAACTACCAATTTCAGTGAACTAAACATTTAATACTTTTATGATCAAACGGTTAAACTATATCTTACAATAAATAAAGAATCCAAAAACTGGTCCCGAATTTAATTCAAGAATTACTGATCAGATTTGATTTCTTTCGACGAAGTGTTAATTGAAGACTGATCAGTCACAGGATTATCACCATCATGCAGAGAATTTGACTTTTCAACGCTATTTAATTCCACTAAATTAGGATCTTCCAATCCTTTAATTTGTTCTATAGAAAATAAAGAGCCAAAAACAAGATGCTGTACTGCGGGAAACTTCTTCAAGACCTAAAATGTGATTTACTAATGAAAATGCGAAATGAATGAGCATCTCACATACATCATTATGTAAAATTCAAGCGAAAATACTCAACTATATAAAACTTTTACCTCTGCTTCATACATTTTGAACATGCCGGAATTGACTTTTTCCCATGTGTGCACGGCACTGATATTCCACAATTGATTTGAATGTTCATGGAAAGGCCCAGTTTTTGTCTAAAATTGGGAATGAAGTTTATTTGTCCTGAAAATTCAGACGCAGCACTGTTTTCAATGCTTCTCGAGTAACATTAAATTCCTCCAAAGTCTGAAGCAACAGAAATCTTTTTGGGAAAAAACTTTTCATAAGTATAGTAATTAAGATTTATACTGGCACTTCTAATGCGATATCATAGGACTGCAAACGACAGTGTTAATTTCTCTCTTTTTGAAAACAGAATGCCAAACAATATGCAGGCTTTGCATTATTTACTGAGCAATGAATCTTACGTCATTAATGAATTGAACAGCATCGAAAAATAAATTTTTCGGAGCATGCAATCTGACAATATCAGGTTTCAGATACGATTCTGGTGTCAATCGTTTGTTCCCTAAAAAAGCAATCACAAGTATAAATAAACGAGAAACTTAGGTTATGCTTTTTAACAGAAGTTACCAATAAGTTGCGAGCTGCCCCATAAAAAAGGCATGAACTGAAAGTCATCCAGTGCATGAACTCCTCGACTGCCAGCTGGTTCCATTCGATATGTAGTTTGCAAGCATCGTACTAGACGTAAATATCTAGAAAAGAGAAAAGAAATAAAAAAATTGGGATAAAAGGAATTATGAATTAAACAAAAATGCTAGTATTCAAAAGTTTTGTAACTGTTAAATTAAGAATGAATAAAAATATATTAAATATCTAGTAAGCCTAAAGAGAACATTTTTTATTAAAATATGCTATGCCAAAAAAGCAAAAAATCATTACTGTCCTTTTGCTTGAAGAGATTTGGGAAACGAAAGCACAGCATCTATAGATTTAAATAAATACAGTATCTAGTAAACTTACTTCAAAAATAATCGAAGAACAAGGGCAGAACTGTCTGCTTCTACAAAGAGATCTAGCTTGCGAAGGCAAAGTATAAAAATGAGAAAACACATTTCATGTCCTATAAGAATACCTTGATTTATAACTAAATGACAACATATAGAAGCAATAATTAAAAATCAAATACATTTAACAATATGCACTTAAAATTCAAGAAGATAGCGCCCAATTCATATGTCGACTTTGTTTTGAATATCAAAATACGTTTACCTGATCCATAATCAATACGCGTTGGATTCCCAAATGAATTTAAGAAGTAAGGAAGTAATTCTACACAAGCATCCTTTTTGTCTGCAGGCAAGAGGCCGTAAATAATGTCATCGGCTTCCTGGAAACCAAAACTTCATCATAACAAACATAGATTTTTTAGGAAATCGCAATAAAAGCACAAGCATTGGACTGTCTTTTGCTTAAATCTGAAGTAATGCAATACTTCTGTTAATCGCTGATGCCATTTACGAAAAGCAACATTACCAAAACGCTGTGTTCCCATGTCATCCGGTGGATATACCAGTACCCATTTCTGAAAAATCTCTTCTTAAAATAATAATTTGAATAACTGGAAAGATCAGAATGATAATTAATTTTTTAATCAGTCACTAAGAGTTGACAGTAATAAATATTTATTAAAAAAATTTTAAACATGCTAAGTTGCAGGATTCTTTTGTTAATAGTTACGTGATAAGAATAGAATTCTCTAATAAAACACAAAATTAAACTAAACATACAAAAATTTTCATGAAATGTTAACTAGTTGCTTGAAACTGACTTTCAAATATTTGAAAAACCTGAATTTCATCTAGAATGTCTATTGTATCCATCATTTTCGGACTTATTGGAATATCAGCTGTCGATACAACACCTTTAACTGAATCATTCAGATCATTTATCATTGCCAAATATTCGGTATAGGCCTGAAATCAATGCTGCAAAATGAATCTCACAAATTCCGATTTTTTTTGTTTACACCAACAGTGATGAGTACAATACACAGAACACGTTGTAGAACACATTACATACAAGAGAAACAAATTCCAACAGTGGAAACTCTTTTTAGCACCTGGAAATTTAAAGAAACAGTATTTTAACGATATGCGTACCACACAATCACTTTAACAGTAAGTGAAGTATGCAGATAATATCTGTTCAGTATTAATTACATACATACTTTACTCTCTAATGAGGTACTAATACTAGAGAGGATGGGAGAGAAACGGCACTTTATTATGTTGTGATGGCACAAAATGAACACAACAACCTTTGAATTGCACCACTTAGCTAGGTCGAACACTGACAATATGTGTCGTTGTGGAAGATGGAAAGAATGCGATTTGGCTGTAACAACAGTACTCATCACTGCATTAACTACCTGAAACCTTATTAGCAATGCAAATAGTGGCTAAAGATGAAGCGATAACATTTAACTACGGAACTTATTAGTACCTAATTAAAGTGAACGTGCGGAAATGTCTTCTTGTGTTATACATATAACATGCTTTTGATCTTATACACTCCTGTTCTAGTATAAATTCTCAACTAATCGTTCTCTCTTAGTTGGTGCTGATATGTCACGTAGATGCTAACGTTCTCACACGAAATGTTACGTAAAATCAGGAGAAAAATGAGAGGAAACAAAAAATTGGCATTAATTCAAATATTCAAATCACCGCGCTCTCTTTATAACATTTTCACTTTTAAGAAAAAATATTGCAAAGAATTATGGCAAATAATGCATAATATAAACGGAGAGGAATTAGAGAAGTCAACAAAACTCTTGTTTATCGATAGATTACGTGATAAGAAAGCGAATGCATGCTAACAGAGAAAAAATATAAAGTGTGCTTTTTAGATAGAGCAAGAGAAACAATCTACCATATCTTTCTATACTGTGCTACTCTTTTTCTCTTCGTCTACCGTGTCCCTTTTTCTATCGTATGCGTTGCGTGTGTCTTCTTCTCTTTGCTTATCTCCTCCGGTCGATACAGTAAGGTACCATATGCTTGTTGCTTTCTTACTGAAGACTGTCTGTTAGTCGGTCAGAGTTTTGACGCGCGAGTGAATGGTTTTATACCATATGTCTGTGTTCAAGTTTTTGCGTACGTACCACGTAAGCGTAAGTACACGTGAGCCTTCGTTTTTTTGACTGAGTACATTGTATACGATGTTACTTTATATGTACAAATTACCATATATCTTTGTTTAAATATTATGTCTGTACATACATGTATGTTTGTCAGGTATTCTATTCAGAGGTTCGGTTCATTACAAGACTTCAAAATTGAAATTTAAGAAATATGCGCGCATTTACGCGTAAATACAAATGCTCGTGAGTACTGAAGCATGTTTATTAGTGTATTACACTTAACAAAATTTACGGTACATTGTTTACTGTTTCGTGAAAAGATTGAAACGATAAGGATTGGCTTGCTTTGTTAAGAACTTTAGAAACTAATCGTAGAGAGGATTATTATTAACACATTTTATTGATGTCAGCAGGTTAGTCTAATTATATTTTTGTGAAATACGTGCGTGACTTGCACGTGAGTTAAAAGACCACCGTGAACAATTGTACTTTTATGACTGTAGAAACAAATTAAGACGTATTTTCCCTCACTGATCTCTTTTTTTTGTTGTACACAGACGAACCTCAGGTTCGTCTGTGTACAACAAAAAAAAGCGCGTGAAAAAGATTGACGATAGTGGTTCTTGAAAGTGAGCTTTGTATTGAGAAGAGATCGCGCATTGTTTAATTGAATTCAAAGTATTACATGTACGTGTTTGCAAGGCTTTTGCATGTGTGCCAAGCTGAATATTAAAAAGACTGCTGACTTGAAATATTGGCAATGACTGAGCACTGTCGTGGTGTAAGTAAAAGTTAGTTATTATCCTAGTCAAATGTGTCCTTGAATTACTTTTATTTTTGTGCTGTCCGTTTGCATGTCTGCAGCCTTTTGCTAGAGAAAGAAAAGAGGAAGTAATCTATTTACCATCGCTTTTAATCTGTTTATCATGATTAAGCGAGTCGACGATCTTAAGCTGATAGTCAGCTTCATCTCAGTTTACGTGCACTTGATATTGTATCATAAATGTAACTGAATTTTTTGTATATCTTATGGGTTGCTGATTAGCTGTTGATAGTAGATAGCGCTTAATACTGCTAGTAACTCGGACTTTTCCTACGTAAATTCCTCACATTCATTATGAATTGTTTTTGTTCGACGCCGTAAGCTGAGATTAATAGTGTAACTATTAGTGATGTACATCAAATCACTATAAAGCAAAATAATTCAAGGTGATGATTTATTTCATTTCTTTTTGAGGGCTAATTTATTTGATAAGAATAATCAACTTCTGGAATCGTGACACACACTGCTGAGTTTTATGTTGAAAGACTAGGAATAAATGGAAGAGAAGTAACTGTGTGTTGAAGTTTCTAACATTGCAAGCAGTAAACAGCTGGTAGCGTTATTTTGGTTATATGCTTGTTCGGGTCATTTATCTCTAGCAGAATAGATTGTATTGCTTCGTGCTCATGCGTACCTTATTTTTTGCCTCTACCTTCTTTTTATATATTACTTTATGCATCCATGAATAGTATCTCAATTTGCATACTGACTTACTCCGTTACTTGGTACGAATTGAGGTTGTGTTAAGGATTCTTCTTTGAGAGAGAAAACTTTGCAAACATTTTTCGTTAATAAATTTCATTCTTTGAGAAGCAGTAGAAGACTACAAAGACGAGTTACTGCAGAGCAAATTGCATTGCCTAGTGATTCTACATAGAATCTGAATGTGGTGCCGATGCAATGGCGTTACATCACAGCGATATCGCGGGGGGACATGTGACACCGGATGGTGTTGTTTATCATCAAACAATGGATTCGGAACATGACGACCTGCGTCGAATTGACGATGACATTCATGATCAGAGCTATGCAACAGAGTCTGAGGTATTTTATTATACTGAATTTGAAAATTGAAATAAATGTTGAAGAAGGAAATGATTCCCTCTCAATATTTATCATTTTTATTATGTATCCGAAGCATTGGAGCAAATCTTGTTATTCTTTGTCTCGAATTCCCTTGTATTACTTTCGTTATTTGTACACATAGTGGTTCATAAAAAATAACTATCTTTATCAGAAGTTTTAAATTAGTTTGTCTTTATTGAATTTTGTATTGCATAATTGGTTTGAAACCATCTAAGGCAGGAATGAGATTTTGTAGTTATAAATAGGACTCTTTACTTAATTCTAGAAAGACTTTCAAAATTAAAGGCCATGGGCAGTAAAAAATACTGGGAGTATTTAACGATAATAATATTTTGGACAGATGAAAATTTTCGCACTATGAGTTACATAGTAAAGAAATGCATTTTAGAGTTATATGCGAAGGTATTTCTCCCATAGTCAATGGCAATTGTTGAAAAAAACTAAGTTTAATGTACCAAATTCTTTAGATCATATCAATTTTTTGAACCCATATATTAAATTTTCTTTGCTAAAAATATTATCTGTAGTACTGTTTTCAAGTTTAACGATGACGATGGTCCACATCATTCTCAACCACGGGCCGTACATCAGTGTAATATATGCAATAAAATTTTTGTGTCATTCAAAGGTAAACATTTCAGTTTTAATCCCAAACTACTTCATGTTATCCTATCAACTTCTCTTTTTGATTCCATGGTCAGTGTGTGCCGTTAATTCATATATTTTGATGTTAATTGAACCCTAAAATTATCTGAAAATTTGTCTTTCCATTATTTATTATATCAGTTAATACTGTAAATTGTCACTTTTCGACGTTAAGTACTAAAAATAGAAGGAAAATTGTCAGTAACAAAGACTGTGCAAAGCAAATAGTAACAAGAATATTTCTAGTTTTTTGAAAACGGCGGTGTGTTGAATTCAAAATTTTTGAATTGTCAGTGTCATTTTTTCTTTTCAGGTCTCCAGCAGCATGCAGTAATCCATACAGATCAAAAACCATTCGGGTGTGATATCTGTGGAAAGGCATTTCGCTTTAAATCTAATTTATTTGAGCATCGTTCTGTACACAGTGGGTTTACTCCTCATGCATGCCCTTATTGTGGCAAAACATGTCGTTTGAAAGGTAATCTGAAAAAGCATCTCAAAACACATGTATCAACAAAAGAAGAACTTGAAGAAGCTTGGAAACCATTTGCAAGGCAAGCAGGAGTCCAATTTCATTTATAATTTAAGCTGAACACGTAAGATATTACAGTTTTTTTAAGTAGTTTAGGAAGTAGCATTCAGAAATATATGCAAGTCTCGGGTTTCAAACAATAGAGAAAACATTCTAGTTGAAAACATCACTAGAAAACATTATTAAGAAAACATTTTAGGTTATGCTAATTAACCACAGAATACTGTCATAGAGAATGGTCTGAATTGTGCCTGGAAAATCCATTATTAATTTTGCATACTTTTAGTCTTCGAAATGTGATCATACTTTCATCCTTAAGAAAACAAGAGGTATATTGTGTGTCAAAAATTTCATTCTGAACTTGCAAGTTTATTGAACATAATTTTTGTTTATTCCATTCGAAATGCTGCGCAAATAGTTATTGCATGTTTGCAGTAACCGAAGGCCGCCTGCGGATATTCCCGACGACGCAATAATAGTGCGTAGCACAGGTGAACCCTTCTTTACTCCTCCAAGTCGTCCAAGGAAGCGAAAGCTCGGCTTAGGACCTGATGCGCGACCATGGATTGACAAAATAAGGCGTGGTGAATTACTGCCTGGTGCTCCTATTGCTGGAAAGGTTTGAAAGTTGTTGTTTGATTACTTTTCTCTGCATTGAAGTTGTTAAATTATTAAATTAATATGATTCCAAAAATTCTTCTGATTCCTTTATTTGTTTTGCATTTTAATTCCAGAAGTGGATCGTAGGCATTCTTTAAAAAAATTAGGAATTGATGTGTGCATATTCTTTTTTTAATCATCTGAATTATAGATGCGGAGATTGTCAGATTTATTGAAAACAGCTGAGGAAAGTTCATTCACTTTAGCTGAGGTATTTGAACAGGCTCGAGCATTGTCATTCGAACGTTTCGATTGTCCGATTTGTAAAATGGTATTTATGTCAAGGTTGGAATGCGTCAGTCACATCGATATTGAACATCCGACGGCTAGGACTGAACGACCATTATTTTGTGAAGTAATTTTTGATCTTAGTAATTTTCTATGATGATATGGTTTTTGCGTTCTGTGCTGATATTCTGTAAACGATGAAAATGTTTATTTATAATTTAGAGCAATAGTTTTTACATTGCACATTAAACTTATCGGCAGAAAACTTTTAAACGATTTGTAGGAACATGAGGTCCATAGTAAAAAGTTACCGAATTAAATTTTTTTCTGAAAATAAAGTCTATTTAGGTATGTTTGAGGACTTTTGCCGACCGAAAGGCAATGGAACAACATGAGAGCTATCATAAGCGGGTTCATTTGCTCATTGAACATGGTGATCTCGAGGTATCATTGCTCTGATTTTTTTTTTCATTCGCATGTTTCAAAAGTGAGGCTTATTAAGGCGCTTTGTTTCTTTTTGTTTTCCAAATTGATAGTACTCAAATCATTGAAATTGAAAATTTGAAACAAATAGCTTTTAGTTAGTTATTCTGATAGAATAAGGAACGATATAGAACAATAAAAATCAGCAATAAGTTTTTGGAATGTAAAGAAATAAAATCTGAATTTAATATTTTGGGAAGTAGGTTTACTGCTCTGTATACTAATATGATAAAAGCTAGAGCGATTGAAAACAAATTGATATTGAAGAATATTGACTTTACTAATTGCTGTTACAGTTCCAGAGTTAGAGTAAGTTAGATGAAATGAATTCTGTAAAATTTTATTCACAGTACAGCTTACAAAATTTTAAATTATTGTTTATGCTTGCTATAGTTAGTAATGTTTGCTGTATTGTTCGGTAACTAAGTAATCGAATTGTATTTCATCATAACTCTCGCTGGGCATCAAGTTTTTAGATTGTCGACCCAGAAATCCTGCTCCCCGAAACTTGTGAAGGGATGGATGAAGAGGTGGAGGCTGTTTGACATACAGAGAGTTAAAAAGCATGTGTACATATTCGTTTCCATGTTCTTATCTTTGAAATTTCCGTTTCAGTTTCACAAATATCAGGGTTTTTTTATTCATAACTTTGATCCAGAATCGTGAAAATGAATTCCAAATTCGACTCTAATATTACTGATGCTGATATTTGATAATTACTGTGATAAATGACTTAATTCTCAAATTTATCGAGTTTTTTTGACAGAAGACGATTTCGATGTTTTTTGCGTTGAGTGTTATGAGTGGTTTAGAAACTGTTTAGGTTACGAGTTTTATTTATTTTTATGATTGTCAGTTGCAGGAGTATCTTGTCTATATCTTTGAAAGTGGGCTTGGTATAACTAGGTAATTGAAAATCCATAAAAATGATCTTGATGATCTGTGGTTCAAAAAATTGCATATTCTAATTACGTGAAATTTTCATCTAGCACGAGTTAACTGGATTCCAAACTTAATTAAACTAATTAATTGCGATTAGTAGTTTGAAATTAACGTCGCATTTATATTAACAGTTATATTTTGTGTACTTGAATTTTAATTACTACATAACTTCGTTTTGGTTTTCTCATTTTTTTCAATTATTCTTCGTGCATTTCAGCTGATGATATCTGGTCATATTACGTCCATTAATTAGTGTATATTATGATTCAGGAAACCATCTAATACTCTGATGGTACTACATTATTGTTTAACGTAATATTTGTAATATTAATCTCTTTTAATCGTCGTTGTCTGTCATGATTTCAACTTAGTAGTGGTCCAACTAGTATCTTTTTACAAGCTAGATTCATTACTTGACTCTTCAAGATTGTTATATTGTCCAAATACTGTCATCAGATCCGTGGAAAACAAGCATTCATCATTTGAAGGCAATTTCAGTTGTTTTATTGTGCACAGCTACTGAAGGTGCTCATTTGCGAATATTTTGTAATGGACAGCGATTAGATGCAAATACTCAAACTGCGCAACTCCCTTATATTATAGCTTCTCCATCGTTTATCTGTTTTGAAAAGTTATTGTGTTCCAAATTTCATAGTCAACTGTAATGAGGACTCTGTTCTCGATCCTTGCGTATCAGCAGCAAGTATAGTGGGTAAGCAACAATGATTTTACCCGTCTAGAATACGTGTTGGTAGATTCATAAATGAATAACATTAAATTAATAGCAGATGACGGTAATAGCTAACACTCAAGAGAGTCTACACTGTGTTGTTATCCATTTCTTCATATTTGTATTGAATGTTGGAATTGAGTACGTAACCTCATGAGAATAAGAAACCTTAAGAGAGTAAAGCGTTTTGCTGTAGCATATGGTAAAAATATAAGTATGGGTAAGCTTAGTTTCTAAATAATTCGGATGTGTCACTCGATAATTGACTGATCAAAGCTATCAGTGAGCATAGTTTGTGATATGATACGATTTCAGTTGTATAGAAGGCCATGACATTCCACTGCCTAATCCTGACCCATGTACTATAGCTACTGCTCTATCTAATCCCCCATAACAAATAGGAATGAATATAGGCTTCCCAACACACTGTCGCCTAATCATCCTGCATAACTAGTTACGACACAGCCTTCTTCTACTCATTGCCCATCAAACAGATCCACCTTCATTCTCTTACATTTAACCACTAGCAGTGAACTATTCACTTTAATTTTGGAGTAGACACTAGATATTACTTTCAATCTTATCTGCAAGACATCAACATACTACATTTTATTAAAAGTACGTTACTTGTTTACTTATATGTACACTGTATTCTGGAAACTACCAATATGCAATTGGACAAAAATATAAGCACATGAAGCAGTGGCCACAGTTGCAATAATAGGCTAAGGATGTGAAAAAAAATTTGAAAAAGTCGGCAAGAAATCGGTCGGTAGTTTGCTAGGACGAGAATTATAAGTTTAGGAACCAGAAGAAAGAACTTAAGAGTTGTTAAGGAAACGTTAATATGTAATCTTTTACAAAGCAACTGGCCATTATGACAAATTTTTAGTACATTCAATGAAGAAATTAATTGTAAACAATTTCTCGAAATCCTCGCCCTCTGCGACTTGTTACAGGTACACGCTGGAGAAACGTGCTACTAGTTTCAAAGCGTTGTGGTTCCGACTGAAATTTATAAACCTAGAGGTTAATATTAAAAACTAAGGACGCACAGGACATGCAGTATTTTACTACTAATTTTCTAAAGTAAACGCGCAAACTAGATATCAGGCCACCAATCATTTCACACGAAGTCTCAATTTGACACCAAGTTTGATAAAGGACAAAAATTATTGGCACCTACCTGTCGCATGCCGATTCCCAATGCTTTGCGCATCTGAATAGCATTTGGATTGATAACATAGCGATTCTTGCCACCTGAACGATTATTCGACTGCCCATTAGCAAAATGCCCATATCTATGCTGTGGAGTGAACTGTGGTTCAGGCTACAATAAGATGAATTTAGTAAATAGCAAAGAATATGGCACTAACTGCAACATTCAAGACAATTCGACATATTAAAAAAGTACCTCAACATAAACCACACTAGGAGCATTACGAAGAGCAATGCGTTTCTGCCTGCCACCTCTGCGAATAACCACTGGACGTTCTTCAAGATAAACTGGATTTGTGGGACGACGAAGAATGACTTGTCGATTTTGAGGGAGAGTTGATACACGACGCATCACTTGTTGTTTAAGTACTGAAGGCCCACTACAAATCAAGGGAGATAATCACCGTGAAAGTTGGAAAGTTGGTGAGTGTTTACGATCGCAACAAACAGATAAAGTATTTTGTGATTGAAACGACTCAATTTTTTTGCATGAAAATATTGAATAAGGGCTGCACAGAATAATAAACAGAAAACATTCGAAATCAGACACTGCGATTTGATGACTTACATTGCACTCTCTCCTACTATAACAGCTTCACTATCACTAGCTAGCTGTCCCATTCGCGATATTCCTCTGCCACGAAGTACCTGAAATAAATTGATGAAAGAAATGGCGAAATAAGCATGTGACTTACGACCATTATTCAGCAACTACTAACGCTACCTGGGGCGATGCGAACACAACAGGCTGAACGCGCATATTATCTCTTCGAATCACTCTTGATCTCCGATTAATCCCTGACAATCGACCAGCAAGACGCGATCCGGCACCAGATACCTCTTTACGTACACGCAACACTCTGCCCTGAAAAACACCCTGCTAGGTCCGGAATCCTAATCCATTACAAATTCCACGGTGTCATGAGAGAGGTCAGAGCTCAGAAAATTCATTGCAGTGAATTCTCACAAAATATGCTTTCCCCATCATCCAAACAAAATGCAGTGAGTGTGCGAAGCAACAGAACTGTTGAGGACGTAAAATCAATGAACGGCAAAACTTTCGCACCAATCAGAGCTCATCAAGAACGAACAAAAGCAACTTCACCAATTTTCCTACCATTCGAATGTTCGATAATTTTTTTGTTTTTAAAGTCATCATCGGTATGACGTGCACAATACAGTGAACGGCAACGAACACCAATAATCGGCAGAATTTTCAAATTATCAAATTAAAAACCAATCAAAAATCATTCTTTCATGTCAACAATGTATGATAGGCCTGCTTGAGCGCTACAATCGCCAATAAAACTCCACGAAAACAAAGCGTGTAACACTGGCGTAGTACCACGCTTACTCCCGATTTATCAATTTCTGTTTCTAGTTCTTCAACAACAGTTCGCCGCAATTTTCATGCACTTCGGTGCTGCACTTTATCGTATCGGTCTTATTGCAAACATGGCGATGGTTACTTAGCAGAGTACAACACCGTGGAACCCTTTCAGAAGGGAAGTTTCTGGCTCTTTTGCAGCCCATACAAAAAGAGGAATGGCAGCTGAACGTACGCCTGGTCGCACTGCAGTATTTCTTTGAAGGGCACGACGACGCAACGTCGCCGCACGATTTATGAGAGATTGATTCGCGCGTCGTTCGATCGCTCTCTAAATGTAAACAATAATTCAATGACGTTCAAATTTTAAGAAAACCATGTATAGTATGGTTTCATTGTCACAGTGTAAAATACAAAACTGGACAGAGGAAAATTAATAAATAACTTGTCTCCTCCTACCATAACCTACACAAATAAAATATTGATCGCAACTAATTAGCACCTTAACAAGTTTATTGACCACTTTCATCGCAGCCGCAGAAGCAACATTTCTACCACTAGTAGCACCCTGACGGCGATTTTTACGAGTAATTGTGCGTGTAGAAACCGACTGATTATTCTGCAATCACTTAATTATACCAACAATTGTAGAAGATGAGGCTTTTAAAATGCAAACGGCACATCACATTTATGTAAACACAACACGTCAATGATTTATTACTGCTTACCTTGATATTTCGTTTCATTAATGTACGTGTTCCTGCTCCCCTTCGGAAGCCATCATTTTGAAGTCGCTTATTTGCAATACGTTCTTTCTTAATTATATCGTCTGGAAATATATAAATTATCTCCAAAAAAGCGGCGAAATTACTTACAATTGGGACTAGTCCAAATTATATTATCACCAAGCAGTTGTGTACAAAAAACTGCAATTGTACAGATGTCACAATATTGTGTGCAATGGCCAATAATTAAGACAGCGCTACTAAACAAATGTTGGGTCCAAAATTACGATGACTAACCAAGGGACATATTAAGCTTGTTATCTACGATACTATTCATATCCATTCGTTTTGCAAACTAAACTGTGGCTCAACAGCAAAGTTCTTTTTAATTTTGTTGACTGAAAGCAGCAATCAAGTAAACCACAAACAACTCCTGCAAAATTTTCAATTAGAATCCTTATGAAACTGTTTCACATATCAAACTATCCAGAATAACTCGAAAGAGGAGCTATTCTTCCCAGCAATAAGCAACAGTTATTTGAGAAAATCAAGAAAAATCCCCACTAACGTCAAGTAAAATCCTCGCACACACTCTACCAAACACAAGAGTAAAAAACCAACCAGCCAACAGCGAAGCGTACCAACAGACTGATCGCTGAGTCGTAGGGTAACACATAAATTAAGAAATATTGATTTGCAAGTCTTCGCTGCGGGAAAATAATGGGAAATTGTCCAGAATCGATGAGAATGTTTAGTACTCTTGTGTCTCTATAGCTTTTTTTGTCTCTGCTTTACTTTTTCCGTGTGACACGTCATAAACAGCAGGCTGAGAAAATCATTTTCTTTCTGAGATCTCTTAAGATTTTGTGCTGTCTTGCAAGTCATCAAAGTTGAGATGACTCTCACTCTAGTACTCAGCTTGACATATGTGATTGGCGGTAAGGGCAAGCAGTAGCTAGCTTGAGCTGTTCGGAAACTTCAGGGTTCTAGCTATCTTAGAAGGTCAGGTCTTGCTAATAAATGGGTTTGTGGCTTCTAATTTTAGTAAAACAACTAGTAAATGCATAAAGTTTGCTTGGATTAATGTACAGTTGGGAGGTTGGTTATTGCAGAATTACTATTGTGACAGAACAGGAAGATTTTCCATATTTTGCTTCTCTTGCTTTTTCATATATAAGTATGAAAATGTTGTATTGCTCACGGTTTTTCATTTCTTTTATATTTGGAAATTAACTTGTAACGATCTTCTCAGTTTTTTCTCATTACTTTTAAACTGAAGAATGTTTCGAAAACTGATCAAGTAATTATTAAGAGTTCAACGCATTTCTGTTTTTAACAAACAGTCATACATTGCTTGTATATATCTATCAAAATATGTTATTTTACTTTTACATGAAAATTAATAGTGTGTAGTATAGAAGATAAACATGAGTATTGTTTTCAGGCTTATTCTAAAAAGGATTTTTTATCATGCCAAATAAAGTAAGCCTTTCACTATTGTGTTTTTTTCTAGCAACATTTTCACTGCTTCCTATTTTTAAAAATCATTTTTACTGTTTTCTTAGTACTCACAGTAATTAGATGTAATTATAACTTGGAGCTGTATATTATTACTTAGTAGAAGAATGCTGAATGAATTCGAAAAATGAGCACTTGTGGTTTTATATATTCTTTGCTGCAGTGAAAATTAATCACGCGCCACCACATTTTTGTTTTACTAAGAAATATAGCATGTTTTCCAAAAAAAAGTTATTACAGTGATATTTACAAATATTATTGCGCTATTATTTCTTTGCTTTTTGTCAAAAACTGAATAGATAAAAGATGTTAAATTCTATAACTAACATAAAGCTAACATGGATACTATTTTTTTATTTTTGACATATTGATTGGTAACGTGGACATCACCCGATAAAATGGCAGTTTTTTCATGTTTAAAAAAATTTTTTTAGAGCCTTGCAAATAGTAAGTCATTGCTTGCGGCAACAATGGATAAATTATCCGATCAGTTAAAAGTCAATAAATGGGATGGTCCGACTGTTAGAAATACAATTGATGATGCAATCAGGAAGGTGAAGATATATAATTTACAGATTCAGCGAATTTCCGTGTTAAAAAAAGAATAAAAATATTAGAACTTAATTATACGGATTAATTGTAGAACACATTTATGAATATCATTGTGAATATTATCTTTTTCATTTCATTTGTCTGAATTGAATTAAAGTTCTATCTCCTTTCAATCCCTTCTTTTAAGTAATAAACAGTTGAAATTTGTAAATTCAGGTTCATAATTCACTCCCTCATTACATTCAATCTGAAGATTTTTTGTGATCAAAGACGCAGTTGTTTGCTAATCAGCTGTCAAAAGCTTGAACCTAAATTTTAAATTTTATTTGAATGCTCTTTCACAAAAGAACAAGGCAAAATTCGAATTTCCACTATATAATATGTTCCTTTAAGATTTTTAACGAAAAATACGATGCTTGGACAGAGAGGCATACTTTGGCAGATGGAAGATTGATAATTTCTACAATCGCAGTTACTTTCGCTATCATTTCTCTAGTGTATGATTACATTGAGCCATTCCCAAAGTCGAAACCGGTAAATTTTTATTCTTTGTTCGCTCAGAAGATGCACAGTAAAAGTCGTGTGGTCTGATAATTATGTTTTATATTTAAATAGAAAATTTAGATGCAAAAACCTACTGAAATGTCATTGGTTTTTTAAATATCTGCAGTAGCGTAGTAAATTTCTGTTGATTTTTATTGAAGAATTGAAAATGTGTTTTGTAGTGTTCTTAATTGTAGCGGTAGAAGATTGCGGAAAATTTCAGGTACTGGCAACATGTTCTATTACTTATTTTATATTAGTAGGCGTCTTACAACTTTATCACTGGTACATTGAAAAAGGAACTTTTTACCAAGGTGTTGAAATAGATCCAACTGGTAAAACTCCGAGAAGATATTGGAAATGGTCGTCATCAATTAAAAAGTTAGTTTGTGCATATTGTATTTAAAGAATTATATGATGTGGCTTTCTGACGCATTTAACAGCTTTAAAATTATGTTTTTGATTTCTGCAGATATGATGATAAATATACATTGGAAGCCGAGTATACGCAAGAATCACGGACAGGACACATAAAAGTAAGTTAATTTTAAAAATTGTTGTTGCATTCATCATGGATGATATTCGCTTGATTCTTCCATTGATAATGACTTCAGATATTCAAGGACGAGAGGCTTAAAATCACGAAAATTTAAATTTAGCTTCAAGTAATTCTTTCCTTCGATGCGTTTGATTTTCCATGGCAAAAATATGTTTCCCATGGAGTTTAGAGTGTCAAAATTCATTATGCATTACAGGTTCTAAAATCTATAGGAACATTCATTGATGAGGAAGGTGTTGTTGTTCTGCCAATTTTGGAGAAAGAACTCTCGCATATTGTTAGCAGCGTTTTAAGAAAAGATGAGTGATAACTCAGTGTTTTATTAGGCTTTTCATCCCAGATTATTTTGTTTCTTAAAGATATGTCCATTTACTTTTAAATTTTGCAGTTACTACAAAGTGTACATTATTTTTTTATGATACAGAAATACTGGGCTTTCGTTACATGTTTAGTCTTTAAAAATAGAGTTTATTACTTTGCTAACACGAATAAATAGAAATTATCAGTAGAATTTTGCTGCTTAGTCAAGCGTGTTACATATGTAAAACATATCGTAATATCTTCCATATAATATAAAATAGTTCATTTTTAAGCTTGATTCTGTTATTGCGAATGTTTCGGTAATTTTGATTGAATCAGTACACTGTTTTAAATTTTTGGAGGAAATGTCTATCTTAAAACCCATTGAACCTTTACAACACAATGCATTATTATAAAAGTTAAGTAATTCCAACTTGTTCAATTAATTTTCGGTAATTTTTTCCAGGAAAATAAAATATTTCAATTCCCCCTTTCTTTGGTGTCTATCTTTCTTTACTTTCAAATTCGTCTTGTTTATTTTTCTAAAAGTGGATAAATATATGTGGTTATAAATCGCTGCATCTCAGTATATTCTATTGTCTTACCTTATTGTGAGTTCTTGCTTTGTTTTTTGCTATCTCTTGTCAATAAAATTAGTTCAGTGTTGCAGTGAAAGTCTTAGCTTGGTTTGATATGCCAGTTACTTATTTTCTGAGTAAAGTTTGTGTTTATCTAGGATTTGGTATTTGTTGGGTCTTTTGGCCAATTCTGTATATTTTTCCATTCCATGATTGAGCAACTTTAAATATATCATATACTAGAGATTGAGCTCTCAAGATGCTTGATTTCATAAGCAAAATGTCCAACTTATTTCAAGGAGAAAATAACACCGTTCTCAACAGACACATACATAAGAACCACCAATATTCTTCAGCACTGCATTTTTTATGCTCTAAATCTACATCGCTCTTTTATCTTGCATTCCTCGTCGAAGAGATGGGCTGTTTTTTTCAGGTATTTTGAGTATGCAATCTTATTAAATTCACAATTTTTGGTTCGAGCTTCTGCGTCCATTGGCTCGCGAAGCGTCAAGTAGGGCGTTTTTGATTGCTGCTTTCCATTACAAAATCGCAGTACTGTGAACGGTGTAATGCCAAATAATGTCCATCGTGTTGCTAATGGCGGCCATCAAAATGTTGCCAGCACATCTGGTTTGTTTTCGTTATCAGTACATTATCAGGGTTTTTCAGCAATTTATTGACTTCTTGACTATGTTTTGAAGGAAATTCATAAACTTTCAAGAAATATTAAAGAGTCAATATAAAGGAAAAAAAGAGATTTAGTATTATTCCCTGAAAATCATTCTTCTATGAGCTATCTTTATTCTTAAAATTAGTATGACTATGAGATTAACAAGCTTCATGAATTTGCATTGCAACCAGTGAAAAGCATTACAGTGGTATTATTTTGCTGGGTTTAATCAAAAATCGAGTAAAACCAATTAGTGCTGCCATGTTTTCGGTGTTTCTTCATGTTAAATTCTATTGCTCTTAATCTTTTAATAAAACTTTGTTTTCTATTTAATCAAGACTTTGTCTTATGTAGTTTTTGATAAATTTTTATTTCCTCATAGGTACATCAAATGCACATAGTACTATTACTGGTGGGGCGAATGTGGATGCAGAATACAGTGTTTCGTACGTTAAGGTAGTTTTTTAGAAGCATTTCTATTCCAGTAGAAATCTCAGCATATTTTCTGTTTTTCTAACACAGCTTATTATAAGCTATTACTATTACATGAAGGAAATTTGGAGTTTCAATGCAATGTAGCATTTATTGTAGATGGTAGCTGAATCCATTGGTATATCAGGGTTATCCGATATTTGTGCATCGCAAATAGCTGCTCAGACGACATTTGCTATTAAAGTAAGAATATATCATTCGTATAATCTGTAATCCGTTATTTCGTGCAGAGATTTATACATGTTTTTTTTTATATTTACTCATTTTACCGCCGCTAAGTTTTAACTTCTAACACACATCAGCAAGTGATTGAGCAGTCAAAAAAATTCGCTGTGCATGGTCGCCGTAAACGTATCATAGCTGAAGATATTGACTCAACGCTCACAATGAATGGCTGTCCGGTAAGTTTTTGCTTTTTTCTTCAACATCTGTTGAATTAAAATGGTCTGAGTGCTTTCCATTCCCTTTGATTGGATTTGCAGATGTTTGTTTACTCAAAAATGTGTTGAATTTAATATATTTGATCTAGTAACACTTATTGTTAATGGGAAGATAAGAGTGAATTCTTCTAAAATCGCCTCTCCCTCCAGTTCTTAAAGGTCTTGTTATTCTAGCCATTATTTGGATTCACAGCAAAGGAAGGACTACCCTTCCGGTTTGCGGGATCTCTTGGGCGTGATTTATTTATTACGGAAGATCGCGACGTTGAAATAACACCTGTTATCAATGCTCCTGCGGCTAAATTACCTCTTGAAATCAGTATTAAATGTAATTCCTTGTTTTTTATGTTCATTATCTTCTTCTCCTTTATGCAAGTATATTAAATAATACAAAAGTAAACTTTTTTGAATTTCAATAGATTTTGTGTTCTGTAGATGTAAAAGGGCTGGTTGTAAATGTATCAGTATAATTTACTTAGAACTTTAATTCTGATTTTAGCTCACTGGTTGGTTATTGATGGTGTACAGCCAGCTGTTCCAGAGAATCCTACTCCGGTACTAAAAGTTGAAACGCCGGTAGTAGTTGCTTCCGAAAAAGCTACAGTGGATACGGGTTTTTCTATATTGTCAAAAGCACATAGAGGCTTAAGACAGACAGAACAAGTCCAGATAAAAACAAGCTCAACGCATGCGCTCTCTGTGGTTTCTTTTTGGATGGCTTTGTGATTACTAGAATCTATGCATGAATCTGAGTTTTCAAAGCAATTTGCAACATATTAAGTTCCAGTAGCTCTAAAAACTCCGATTTTGCTCTTTCAAATTTCATCCAGTAGTAAGTTGATGACTGGAATCTCTTAATGTTTATTTTCAGGAGCAACAAGTTTTTTTCAAAGAAATTACTGAAGCCATAATGGGTAGTGATGACGCGAGAAGGACGGTGAGTTCTTTTCGGTTTTGCAAATTTTGTGTGTTTGATCTTCGAAAGAAATTTTTTATTTGAAAAACTTTGGTGGAAAAGCTCGCTGTATTAAAGTATATGTTTTTAAATCTCCTTTATTAGTTTAGAAATTTTCAAGCTTTCACTTTTTTTTTAAAAAAAAAGTTCTTTTTTGATAAATTTAATTATAGTGGCGCCAGTAATCAATTTTAAACTTTATAAAGCCAGAAGGAAATGTAAATTTATTTTTTGAGTTGCAGATTTGTTTGACAGCATTCCGTCATAATATTCATGTTATTTTTATTTATACAATAAGGATTTGTTTCAATGATGAATAATGAAATGTTTAAGTACATGCTTAAGTAGATATACCGATATTGGAAATTTTTATCCAAAAATTTTGCTGTAGATTTTTAGGAGGCATTATACAGCCTTCAAACAGATGCAGGTTTACAGCATTTACTTCCCAGGTTTTCAGTGGCAATTGTTGAAGGGGTCAGTTTTTTTAATTTAATTTGTATTTTGAATTTTCTCGAATACCTATGTTTTCATGTACTTCCATTGTCTGCGAAAATTTTGTCCTTAAATTTAGGTACGGTGCAACATTGTTCAACATAACTTGGCTATTTTGATTTATTTAATGAGGATGATTCAGAGCTTGGCAAATAATCCAGCACTTTCTTTAGAACGTTGTGTAAGTTAATTTTGTTTGAGTTATTTGCTTTCTGAAGTTCGAATTATTTTAGCAGGTTAGTTTTTTCACTGTTTTCACGCTTTGATAACTTCAGACTACAAATTTTTCAGTTACATGAATTGTTGCCTTCTGTACTCTCATGTATCTTAAGTAGACAGTTGTGTGCCCGACCAGAGACGGATAATCATTGGGCTTTACGCGAGTTTTCTAGTCGTTTATTGGCTACTATATGCAAGTATGATTTTCATATTTATCTGCTGATCCATACAGTTATACTGTTTTGCATTGTAATAAGGTAAATATAATCAGATTAGTCTGACTATTTTTTTTTTTAGATCGTACAATATTTCTCATTTACGATCACGTGTTACTCAAGTGCTGACTCAAGTTTGGTGTAATGAAAATTACACACTTGCCGCGCTATATGGATCACTATATGCTCTTAATGAGCTTGGTGTTGATGTATGTTTGTTTCTTTATTATGTTTCTGTAAGAGCTAACAAATGATTGTTATTTTGGAAAATTTTAGTTGTAAGCTTTACTTTGGTTATAAATCTATTCTGTGCTGCCTCATCTCTTTTAAAGGATTGACATGAAGTGCATAAATGGAATGATTGTTGCAACTTTGAAAGCTAAGGAAAGTAAATTCGAATCTTACATTTGTTACAGACTGTACATTCTGTGGTAATACCCCGAGCTAAAGAATTACATAACGATATTCGCAGGGTTCTGTTAGACAAACCAAATATTGTTGATAAATTAGCTGCTGAAAAACTGCAGAGTTTTGTGACAGTAAGTTTGTTCTGTCTTTAAACACCACAGCTTTACTTCAAAAGCAATTTCATAAAATTTCAATTTTGTGACTTTCGCATAGTAAATCAATTTAAAGAAGGTGTTGGTGCATTTCGTAAAAATGCAAAAACCTGCTGGTCTCAAAGAAGTTATGGACTATCAGAATATGTTTGGAGGATTTGGGGAAGCTGTGCATAAGTATGCTTTGAATTTATATGCACTTTATGTAAATTTTGTAAAATTGCCAAGCCTTTTTAGGCATCTTGTCACCATCTCATGTTACATATAAGTTCTAGTGTTCGCGCGGTCTGATCTCAAATATATAATTTTGTGAAATTCATTCTTCTATTTAACACTTGTTCCTTATATAATATTTAGAGCCATCACAAGTGAAATCTCGCATACATCTATAGCGCCTAGTAGTGCTACAACAAGCAACAACAACATACATTCTACTATGTTGCACAGGCCTGGAAGTGACAGAAGGCCGATCACACTTGGTGTAAGTATGCACTTCCATTTATTTATGTTTTTTTTTTTTTTTTTTT